CATGATTTTTAAATTTGCAATTTTACAAATGAAGGAATGAGGCTCAGTTAAGGAACTTGCGCGAGTTCATACAGTCAGTGGCAAAACTGGGACCAGAAAAAGGTTTATGTCCTTCAAAACCATGCTTTTAGTTTTTATATTGGATGCAACAGGACATAGTTGGGTGGGGGGACCCACACAACAAAAACCGACTGGTTTATTTAACTGAAAGATTTGGCTTCAGATGTTGGCCATCATGTAGATTTATTTTAGGCTCAAGGCTCTGCCGATGAGTTGGAACCAACTCATAGCTGATTCTCCAGCAAGTTTCTGGAGTTTGTAAAATATACAGGAAGATGCTGTCCTTCTTCCTCCTTCAGAGCTGCAGGTGGATTTGAATCAGCAAAGACGCACCACTTTTGGGTTAGTAGTGAAATTCCCTATGGGGAATACACACACACACACACACACACACACACACACACACACAGACACACACACACACACACACTGGAGGGCATATATGTATCCGTACACATTTAAGTGTATAAACAAAGCAAATAACAACTAATGGCTACTGAGTCAGAACAGACTCACAACAAATACATATATTTGTATATATTTATAAATGCATTTGTATGTTGTTGCTGTGTACTGCTGAGTCAGAACTGACTCACAGTAGACTCTCCAGCAGGTTTCAGAGGCAGTAAATTGCACAGGAGACTGCCCATCCTTCTCCCATGGAGCAACTGGTGGATCTGAACTGCATACCCTTGGATCAGTCACACAATTTCTCACCACTAAGCCATCAGAGCTCAGATAGATTAGGTTTCTATATAATCAAAGCCAAGGTCACAGCTGTTGAGTCAGAACTGACTCTTAGCTGACCCTCCAGTAAGTTTTCAGAAGCTGTAAATGACTAGGGAGGAGACTGCTCACCTTTCTCCTGTGGGGCCACTGGTGGATTTAAACTGTCAGAAAGGCACCACACTGGATTAGCGGCACAACTCCTATGAATTATGCCACCAGAGCCCCCTGATCTTGGGCCATTGTTGCTGTGTACCATCAAGTAGAAATCTACTCATAGCTAACTCCAGCAGCTTTTCACAGGCAGTTTAATCACACAGGAGGAGATTGTCCACCAGTCACTAGAGCCCCTCTCATCTTGAGCTAGTTACTTAGAATTCAAAGATTTTCAAAGCTTTGCCAAAACTTGGGACCTGTGTAGTCTTTAATGTCTTCTTTCACTTTTTCCTAAGGTCAGACACTAGTCATAAGTCTCATCAACCTTCTTTTTAACACTCAACCAAACTCCCTCCTACTTGAACAATCTTTGCAAATATTATCCTTTCTTGAATGTTATCTGACTAACTCTGAGTCATGTTTTAGATATTAGTTTGAGTAGCACTTCCTCCTAGAGGCCTTCCTCTGATTCCCAGTATTTCTCTAGTGGTGCAAATAGTTTTGCCCTTGACATTTGCTCTTGACTCGGGCATAAACATTGGCAGTTTCAATACATCCAGCAGCTCTATGGAGTAAAGGTTTGCTTCTCTGCTTCCATCAAGATTACAGCCATGAAACCCTGGGGAATAGCTCTATTCTGTAACACTCAAGGTCACTATGAGGAGAAATATGGACTAGACAAGAAGAAGTTTAAGATTTTTTTTAATTCTTTCATATCTCTTTGATATTTAAATGCATAGCAAGTATGAACAAACTTTGATAAACATTTCCATATTCTATGCCTCTTTATCTCATTAGATCACAACTAAATATTCACAATTATGGCTGACTGGTAAAGTCCAGCCGACCCTATTTTTGTCAATAAAGTTTTATTTGACACAGTCGCATTTATCCACAGAATGGTAATGTTGAATAATTGTGACAAATAGTGTGTATCTTGAAAGAGTTAAAAGATTCCCTACTTGAGCATTTGTAGAAGCATTTTACTGATCTTTTAAAGACTATCACTGCCCAACACTTATCCTTAGCTGTGGTAGTGTTTACTGACTTAATTAGTTATTCAACTTTAAAACAAGATTAAGGAGGATTAAAGAAATAATATAATGTTCTTGGCACATAACTAGTACATGTTCAATAGTTACTCCTTTTATTTAGCTATCTGAATATTTCTGTAACACAAATTGATTATTCATAATTTTTATTATTTTAGATACGATCTTAAGAAATTAATCTTTTTACATTACACATTGAGAAATAGTGTTTATAAACTTGGGTGTTGTTGTTGACTGCTTTTGAGTCGAGCATGACTCATAGCGACCCTATTAAAAAAAAAGGTCTGAAGCCCCTCTACAACTATGCACATTTAACAAAGTACACAGAGTTTCCAAACTTGGCAGCTCCAAATATTTTTTAAAATAAAAGTGTTACTAGCCTATAATCTTTTCCTAAATTCTATCTACAAGAAGTTTCTGAATTTTAGCTGCTTCCAATTTCCGTTATAAAATACTTAGACGGCGATATTCAACTTAAATGGTCACTCTTTTTCAATAATGTTATTGTTTAACGATAAATAACTTTTTACATGAACTACGTAGTATTTTATTTCACATTTTAAGTTCATATTCTTATTCCAGTGAAAACATGCACTGCTTTGTACCTAGTCAAATAAACACCTAAAATGGCAAAGTGGTCTTTTACTACTTCTAAGAAAGGATGACACTAAGAAATTGGCTGAGGGCATACTTCAGAGGCTACAATGGTGCAGCTTTACAAAGAAGTAGCACTTTCTTTTTAATAGGTGAACACACTGTTCACTGGAAGCTCAGAATAAGGCTGTCTCCATAGTTCACATGACCTGCTGTCACAGATCTGCTGGTTTTAATTATGAAAAGTCATCTATACTTTCTAAGTTCTCTCCAAAATGTCTCTTATGACCACTCTCATAGAAGGTGAAAATTACTTATTATAAATATTTACATTCAAGATGGATCTTTAAAATATTCAATAGCTATCTAAAATAATCAATGAAATATGCAACAAAGAAGAAGGTTTTAATTTTTACTAATTTTATTTAAGAGTATTAAAGGGTCTGCTACACCTATATAGAGTGGAATAAAGAATAAATACTTCCTAAATTATATAAAGCAAACTTTAAAAATCTATCTCTTGAATAAAAAAAAAAGTAAAATTTAACAGAATTCTTTTTTCTCCTTCTCATAAATTATTATGACTCCTCACTTGGGTGAGAGCTATAGCAAATATAGAATCAAATATATATATAAATGAAGATACTCAATTATTAGACCAAAAGTATGATTTTCAAATTCTATACTCATACATAACTTTTATTATTATTTTTATAATGTTGAAAGAAAGCTGAAGTATTCAACCCACAAGTTTTTTTCTTCTCTCTTTGTAGGCAAAAGGAAGGCACATGAGCAACATAGGTAGCCTAATACCTAATAAGCATATCATTTCTACCTTGCATGTATCATCAAAGACACTCACATATCTGTGAGAACTAGACATTTTTGTGATCTTAAATTTAAAGGCTTATAATATAGACCAAATATCCTGTATAAAAATGACTTTCATTCATAAGAGAAGAGCCTTTGAAAGACATTAAAAATATTTTAACATTGTCCTCATGACAACAATAATAGTAAAACTTACACAATATCTTAGTCACTTAAAACATACAGGCAAAAATAGTTAATACTTTCTATCCTTTTAAATTCTTACTTTTATAAACATAGAAGTAATTCCCCCCCCCCAAGAACTACAATTATCTGTATGACACATTCTTTATCTGAAGATCTTACATATCCCAGTACTGTTTGGTTATAAAGGGAGCTTGGAGGGAGCTCTGGTGGCCTACTGACAAGAAGCTGCACTGCAATCCCAGAGATGTGCGGTTTAAATCCACCATATGCTTTGCTGGAGAAGGAGGGACAATCTCCTCCTGTACCACCAGTCAGATCTGCTTTGACAGTACACACACAAAAATTAATAAAATAAAATATTTTTTTTTTAAAAAAGGGAGCTCAGGTGACTGAGTGGTAAGGAGCTGTACTGTCAACTCAAAGGCATTCAGTTTGCACCCACCAGTTGCTCTACAGGCCCAGGATGGGCAGTCTCCCCCTTTGTGATACAGCTGGTCTTCCAGAGGGTTTTCAGAGGCTGTATATTACCAGGCTTAATATATGGCCCCTAAAAACCCTCTGGAACATCAGTTATGTGTCAGTTCTGATTGTACAGTACCTAACAATATTTGGCTATAAAGATTACAATTTGGCTCCATGTTCCAACATACTCAAGGTTACTGATCAAATTAGGTGATGTAAGAATATCTAGATTGTTTGTAAGCAACCTAATTTTAAATATCAAATAATGATACTTGGGAAAAGTGACAATGTGATGGATCCTGTTAATTTCCACCACTACGTATGGCTTTTGGAATCTGCAGAGTAGACCTTCCTTGGCCATAAGAGAGCTTTTCCTAATGCCGATCTCCAAGAGAGCACTGAACATCCCATGGATGGCCAAAAGAACAAACAGGTATGTCTTGGAAAGGGTGCAGCCAGAGTATTTTCTGGAGGCATGAATGATGAGGCTTCAACTCACATACTTTGGGCATATTTCTAGAAGGGGCTATTCCTTGGAGCGGGACATGATGCTGGGAAGGGTAGAAGGTTGGCAAAACAAAGGAAGCACCTCCACCAGGTAGATGGTCAATTTACAAGGAGACTGCTGAAATGGGCTCTTCTGTGTCAAGAAGTGGGAGGACAGCAAGGGACAGAACAGGGTTCCGATCTTTAGTTCATAGGGTTTGCTTTGAGTTGTACTCAACTCGACGGCACCTAACAACACCACCACCAACATGCTGTTTTAAGTAAAACTCTCACTTAAAATTCATGTTGAAGAGTAAAACTTTATGTAAATTGTGTGCACATGTATCTATTACTGTCAGGCAAACCGGTCCGATTTATTCAGAATAAACAATTATGTAATGGGTTTTAATAGACTGTTTATAATGAAACGAAGAAAAGTTTACTCACCTGTCTGTTACGTTCATCCATAATCCTTGTAATCTGAATCTTTTTTCTCCCCATAGTCCCCGTTTTTCTTCTCTCTCTCGTCCCTGAAATTATGTATTTTTTCCTTCCTTTTCTTTCTCTTTCCTGTTTCCTCCAAACAAACCTCCTTCTTCAGCACTTGCACAGCTCAGTTCCCAAATTCCTGCATTCGTTCCTGCTAAACAACAACAAATTAAAAATCAGTGTAACAGCAAATCAGTTTCGTATAAGGCACCACATTGTAGTTTTATAAGGGAAATAAACCATATGGAAGTAAACCAATAAAATGAAAGAACATAAGTGTTTCTTAACAGTCCATTGTAGTAGGATCACCTGCAGGGCTTACCAGATAGGAATGGTTCGTTTTTATAATTAAAGTGATCTTATAAGTAATTTAACAAGACATTTAAATGGTAAAGACCATGCTTTAAATCAAAGCCCAACCTTTGAAATGTATCTTTTACAGAGTTTCTTAATATTTTTAAATGAAATTAGGTGACTATTTTCACCCTTCTGATATGAAAAATTACCTAAATCAGAGAGTTAATGAACCTTTATGTACCTGTGTATGCTAAGTAGGGCAGCTAATTCATTTCTGAAGGGAAAACAATCTTGTGTTTTGACAGCAGAGGTGATAACGTCCCTCGTTATGCAAATAAGATGGACTATTATGAAAGTGCTAGTAGATATGTGGAAATGTCAACTAATTTAAATCTAAACTCTTTAATCTTATTTTTTTTAAATCGCTGGTATGAGAACACTGTAGAAATAATTCACTATATTTAATCTTATATAATAAGCACCTCTCCGTAGTGAAGTCTCCTTTTCATTTGAAAACCCTGAAGGTATATCTTAAACACAAAAAGTGAAAGAGATAATCAGCCACAAAAAAGAAGTGGCACAAAAATGAAGAATACTATTCCATTTGTAGCCATATTTTCATTAAAACAGCAGTCTTCTTAAGTATTTTTAAAAGTCACAAATATCCCTTAAGAAGTAAAAAATAAAAAAAAAAGAAAAAAAAGAAGTAAAAAATCATGGGAGCTTGCTATATAATCTCTTTTATAATAAGCACCTATCTATATAAAGGTGATCTTTAGGGCATGAGTTGAAATTAAGAAAATGACTACCAATACTACAAGATAAGCCTAAGGAACACAAAATCTTAAAAGAATATTTCGTTGTAAATTCTGTCTGGAAGCGTCTGAACATAATGGATGTGAACTGCAGGGAAGTGTGGAAGTTAACTAGGAAGTGTTCTTCAAGGACGTCTTCATCTGCAAGCAGCAGCACCAATTATGATCTCCCTCTTATGTCAATGAATGCAACAACTTTACACATCGTTCAGAATTTCCCTGTTTATTTTAGTTGGTGTCTGACAACCAACTTGATAAATTCCCACATGTAACATTGGCTTAGTAACACTAAGCCAATGTCCTGGCTATTTAATAGATGATTTGGCTCCCATTCAAAGTTACTGAAACAGGAAAGCTGTTATACTCTTGGTATGATCATCAGCTGTCTTTTGATCTCTTTAATTTAATTTCTAAGTACTTTATCACCTTGTGTAAATTTTTTAAAAAAAATTTGTTTTCTCTGATTATCTAATTGTAGACGCTATTATTATATAATTCGTTCTGGTGGATTAGCTTTGCTTAAACACTACGGACTATCAGTTCTCTATTGTCAAATACCTTTCTATTAAACTGGTGCTCAGTTCTGCCTCTGAAGATACACAAGTCAAGTAACATCATGACCATGTGCTCATCAGAAACTATTACTGCAGCTGTACTGCTTGCTGTATATTGGATGTAGTTAAAAAGTTGAGAAGAGCTGTATAAATCAGACATATTTGGCAAATACAAGAAAAAAATTTGTTTTAAATAACGCATAATTATTATTATAAGATATATTAGAAATACATTAAAGTAGAAAAAAAATCCACAAATGACAATTGCATCATATATTCACTGTTGCCAAATACTGCCCATCTATTTTTAGAAACAGTCTTAAATATCACTCATCTGGGTGACTTTCCTGTTTCCTACAGTCTTACCTTAGAAGCAAGCAGCATGTTAGAATGGTATTTCCTATGCATGGGCAAGGCCCCAAAGCAACACACTGGCTTTTTCTATCCCAGAAAAGCCAGTGCATGGACCCACAGTAAACGCATATGGGACTGGGACGATTTCCTTTGCTTTCACTCAGCTGAGGCCCATGGCACTATCGGCTTACAGGGCTCTGCCTGCCTAAGCGCTTATTCACTTTAAGGTGGAAGGTCAGGGGGAACAGATTAGAGCAAGGTGACAAGGCAGGGAAGAGGAGAATGCCTTTAGATGCCCCTTTCAAAATATAAATTACAAAACAAGTAGTGAAAAAGCTATACATGTAAAGTCTCCTCAGCAAGACTGAGTAAGTGCCTAATGAACCAAGCCTAGAATTCTTCTTCATCACTGTATTTCACAATTTGGAAACAAGAGGGATTTCTTTTATTTTATTCCTAAATCATCATGGGAAAGGTTTTCCTGTTAGGCTGAATAACATACATATATACGATTGATAAACATGCCATTGAGTCAATTTTCCTTTCAAATGTACTGGGAAATAGAGAAGCAAGTTTAACCTGTCCATATAACTAAGGGTGTTTTGTTTCCTGAAAAAAATGAGTCTTTATATTGAATATGCATTTTCAAAAATGCAAAATCAGCAGTAACTGAGTAACTTTTCATGAAACGTATAGTAAAATCAAGGCTTAAACATGAGATGTGAGTCACATACTCAGGGTATTAATGTCCCCCAAATTAGAAAGGTCAAAAATAGCCAATTAGTTCTTTTCCTAAAATAATTACTTCCCTAACTTTATTTTTATTAAAAAAAAAAGATAACAATACTGTTAGGAAGGTATCAAGTGCTGATTTGTAGAAGCTAGAAAAAACCCATTGCTGTTGAGCTGGAACCAACTCATGGCTTTTCAGAAGATGTAAATCGAAGGAGAGATTGTCTTTCTCCTGAGACGCCACTACCACTGGAGTTCTTTTGTAGATGGCAAGAGATGGTTTAATCTGTAACACGGTTTTGTGTGAATATAGAAAAAAGAATATATCAGCTAAACTACATGTAGTAAAATTTCAAGTAATGATGCGAGCTTTCGTTTTGAACAATCAACCATAAACTTAAAATAATCCCAGCAGCCTACGTGCTCCTTCTTTCCACATGAAAGCAGCATTCTTAGAAAATGACAGAGTTACGTATAAATACTCAGTAATTAAAAAAAAGAGAGAAGAAATGCTCTACCATAGTTATTCTCTATAGAGTTCTAGTCTTCTGCATTTTCTTCTTTCCGTCAACATAAATATAAGAAAAATAAAATCAGGCTGCTTACTAAAAAGGGGAACTTCATTATGGCAGGCTTCTGTTCACTTTGAGTTGGGCATAGCAGGCAGATGAAGGCACACTAGTTTGAGACTCAAGTAGAGAAGAATTTCTTCAGGGCGGATGCTAAAGACTATTCTCCCACCAGTGCTCTTTCATTAACAAACACATTCCCTGAAGTGACACCCACTGCCCCTCCTATCTCCTTTCTCTCCCTCCCTCCTCCTTCCCTTCTTCCTCTCTCCCTCCCTCCTGCAAATCCCTCCCAGTAACACAGAAGAATCTTGACAGAATGGCAGGAAACACGCACAGACTGGTCAGGGAAGGATATGATGTCAGCAACCACGAACAATAAAAGGTGTAAAGGTGCTTCCTTCCCTAAACTGTTCCAGAAGTGTAAAATGGGAACCAAAACTCTCCACTTCCTTCTCTGAGCAGAACCGTCTGAGTGTGCAGTGCTGCAAAGCCCCACAGAGAGGCCTTTGAGAGGTTCAGATAAGGGCCAGTGAGAAAAATCCAGACATAGGGGCACAATTTGTAATTTCTATTTTTAAAACATGAGAAAAAAAATCCTTTTCAGTTGTAGGTTTAGTATTTCGTATGATTAAAGGTTGGTTTTTTTGTTATTTTATTTAAGCAAACAAGAAAACAAGAGCGTCACCTTTGTGAAGCAGTAGATACAACACAACTGACATTTAAAACATACCATGCACTACTTATTTTATTATTATTATTTTTTTAATCACCCTATGTAGTAGATTAAGTAGTCCTAAACTCTCAATTTACCTACCCTTTGAGGCAAATGAAGATTTCAATACAACCAAAGAGATAAATTATTATTTTGGTTAAGAGAAAGAGAATCATAAAAACTATTCAAGAAAATAAATGTTAACACATTTTCATTACATTTTTACCCCTCCATAGTGTTACACACACACACACACACAGAGTTTGGAAGTGAAGGGGAGGAGATGTAGCTCTCAATGTTCCTTAAAGCACTCAGACTAAGATTAAAAAGAACATAAACTTTCAGTACCCAACACAACTATTTATCTTAATTTCTTTGCTCTTAGGTTCTTTCTAACATGGAAATGGGAGTCAATAAGGTTTGTGCAGGGAAAAAAACCCCACATATCAAGTGAATCTGAGTCATCTTCAGATTTCAATCATCTTCCCACAACACTTTGATTTAGAAATTAAACATAACCTTCAGTTATATGTTTTGATCTTAGAGTGAGACTGCCATGCCACATTAAAAGATGTGGGAAGGAATTAATTCTCTTCACTAAACTTATCTTGGAAAGCATTTATTTTGCTATAGTAAGCACAATGCAATCACTTAAATGAAAAAAAAAACCCAAAAAACAAAAAAAAACCCAACACCAACCATACCCCAGCCTATGAACAATGATAAAACATTTAAGTATGTGATATCAATACACAAAGAAAGAATGCTAGTTTCTTCTCCTTATATTAACAAATTAATCTTTCATTCAAAATTTTACCGTTATCATTTTTGTAAAATGTTTGTGAAAATTCAAGGCCAAAAAAAGAACACAAAAATGAATACTGTACATATATGAATACTAGCCAGATAAAACTTAGAAAGGGGCAGACACGGTCAGTACATGCTCAGCAGCATCAAGCCTATATTACTAATTCAAACACTTAAATGATTCATTATAATTTTAAGTGGAAAACTTTGCACATTGTGGTGCATCTATCTGTACTTAATTTTCTGTGATTTGTTTGAAAGACACCTGACATACGCACTTGTATTTATTAAAAAAGAACAAAAACTTACTT